AACAAAAATAAGTACCACCCAAATTTGAAAAAATTTTATTATATTTCATATTTTATTTAAAAATAAAATTTTATTTTACAATTTATCATCATCTTCCAATTTATCTAATTCATCAGCTGAATCACTATCTATATCTATAACTTCTCTTTCATTTTCATCAATTTCCTCTTCTTTTTCATCTTACCCAAACAAATCGTCTTCTAATCCATTTATTGCATTACTAATACTGCATTTTTTAAATGACTTTACAATCATTTCCTTTAGAATTTCTGCCTATGCCTCAAGTATTCATTTGAAATAATATTATATTCAGGCTTTCTTAAATTCTCACCTTTAGTATAAAAAAATTGACCCAAACTTATCCAAATGTTTCACTTTCACGAAGTCTATCTTTAAATGACTTATTAAGACAAACATCAAGCAGCTGAACAATAGAAATGAGACCACCAGAAATGATTGCCAAATCAGTATTTTCATCGAATGCAATTTTTTTTATAGCATCTGTCTTATGACCTTCAAAACTATCTATAACAAGAAGGGATCTTTATTTATTGATTCTATTTCCTCCCAGCTTTTTTCTTCAAACCTTATCAAATCAGATTTTCATTTCAGATTCATTCATCCATCCTTTTGGATGTATCAATACAATAATCTCAGAAGGTAAATTCTTTGACATTTGTTTACCTTAAAAATGACAATTGTAATAATTTTGTATCATCTGCAAGAACCGTAAGAACATATGTAAACTGATTTTTTCATTTCTAGTTGTTCAAATTTGCACAGTTTTAGCATCACAATTTTCTATAGTTAAGTTTCCAACCATATCAAAATAAACAGGAGTTTCATCTATATTTTCAATTTCACAAAGTTTATATTCAAATTGTTTTCATTTTTTAATAATAAACTGCTAAAACTCCAAAAGTTTGTCATTAAGGTGAGCAGGAAGTTTTTGGTCAATTTTTGTTTTACGTCGCAGAGAAAATCCATTCCTTTTAAGAAAATCATAAAACTAACATTCTGAAACAAGAAAATTTTCACTATTTAGATAAACATGAGCAAACTCTTTTATTAAAATTTCTTTCATATAAATTTTAACCATTTTAGAAGTCACTGCAATACTATCTTTTTGAAATTCTATAAGCCATGTTTTTAAACTGGTTTCAGCTTCAGGATATTGTGCTTTTCTTCCTGCGTTAATACGTCAATTTTTTCCTTTTGCTGACTTGAGTTTATCTCCCTATTTTTTCTAACGTAAAATCATTGAATGATCAATAGAAAAATGATGTGCCTTTTTGACCATGATTTTTTGCATATTGCAAAATCTCAAGCTTTTCACTAGCAGAATATGATGACCTTTGAATTTTTGGCATTGTGTGTGAAAAAAATGTGCGTAAAATAGGGGTAAAATTGAATTTATATAAATTTATGTAGTACAAAATTTTTTCGAAGCATAAAAAAAATTAAAAAAAACTTCTGAATTTAAACACCATCCCAAACTTTAGTGAAAGTTTTCTCTCAAAAAAGTGGTGCTTAAAATCAGAAGGATACGGTATATATATTTATAAATCATATTTTTTATATATAAATAATATCCAAGTTTAAATAGATGTTTATTTAACTCACATATCTTACAACTGCTCATTCTTCTTTAATCCCTATGTATGTCTCAATATAACAAATCACATAATCATAATAATTAATAAAGTAAGAAAATATATACTGATAGCAATGACATCAAATTGCTTATCACAGTAGAAATTGCTTCTATTTCTCCTATTAGGATCTGAAAATGTGATTCAATCAAAGAAGAATTGTAATTTTCTGACTATGCAAAGTAGAGGTTACATTCTTTATCTCTTGAACTGATAATATATCTTTACTAATTTTATTAATACTAATTTCGTTACTTATCTTGAGATTGATCTCTGTATTATCTTTTGATTATTCAGATATATAATTACTTTCATTATCAATGTAAGATAATATATTGGTATCAATTTTTTCAACCTGATCCATATTTTTGTTATATACAAAATATTTACTAAAATTTTTATTAGAAATACTAGACATAAAAATATTGCTAGAATTTGATATAGAACTTTGTTCTTCATACTGCATATTTTTTCATTATCTTTACTAATTATTGCAAAGCAATGACCTTTTAGATCTAGGTAATTCTCTGATTTCTGATACTCAAATCTACTAATTTTTAAAACTAATTTATTTTTTAAATTTACCAATTCAAACTTGAGAGATATGATCTCAGATTTTTTTTTTAATATCTCTTTTCAGATCAAAACTGTATCATTCTGAGTTAATGTAAATCTATTTTTTAATGTTTTTTCATAAATTAAAGTGTTGTAATTTTCTTGGATTTTATATCAATCTTAGATTTAAAATTAGCAAGAAAAATAGCTTTACTAGTATTCTCAAACTGCAGATTTAATTCTTAATAACAACTATTCCTAGTTTTTTACTTTATTCTGATCCCATTATTCTCTCTTCCAATTAATTTTTTTTTCTTGTTTTTCATACTTATCTTGCAATTTAACATTATATGAAACTATTTCAGAAGAATTTTAGAAGGCATTATATAATTCTTTTTTAAGATCTATCATATTGGTCATATTAAATTATAAAAAATAGATATTAAAGTCTAAAAACCTCTTTGAAAAATTTCAGTTATAAGAATGAAACAGCTTACTAAAAAAAAATTATAGAGCAGATACTAGTTACTTATCTCAATAAGCACTTAAAGAAAATATATAATCAAGAGATAGAATTAAAAATATAGTTAAAATAATAGCAAATAAATATAATACTTTAACTTGTCAAATTTATGAAATCTGATATAAATATGAAATAGATCAACCTAATCACATCCAATTAAATAATAAATCTTCAGATATTGTTAATTAGGATAAAGAAATTGAGAATATATATGTGTTATATAGTGATTTCTATACTAATTCTATTACTTCGTAACTACAAAGTAATTAAATATACAAATGTAAAATATCTGTAAATATATATATTTATTTTGAAACATTTCAAAAGGTTTTAGAATATATGAAAAAATGTTGAAATTTTTAATATCTTTAAAAATATAATATAATTTATATGTGTAAACATTTCAAAATTTTTTTATATTTTTAATAATATTTGGATATAGGTCACATTTATAAAAGTTATTATATCGTCAATGCCAGATATCTATCAGATGAGACAATTCAAAAGATTAAAGAGTTAGTAGGAAAAATATCTGATACAGTAAATATAATAACATAAAAATACCATATAAATTATTATTGAATTTTAGATTACATGAAAAATAAGAAGTGCAAACAGTAACTAATATATAGTGTTGTTTTTTCTGAAATAATCTCTAAAAATAATACTTTGGATAAAAAGTCAAATAAAAGAAACCAGGATCCAGTTTTAAATCTGCTTGAGTATCTGATTCAGTCAATATGTGTCTTAATACTAGCTCTGTTATTATTAAACTGAAGGCTAGCTTATCAGCTAATAAGGTTAGTATAACCAATATTCTGATAAAAAAGTAGTTGAAATAAATGGCTTATAAGCTAGGCTTATACAAAATCATAAAGAAAGAAAAGAAATTATATATAAGTTGAAAAAAGTCTTAAATTCTAACTAATCTATTTTTATTTTTTCTAGAATAATTTGCAATCTACGTACTATTTCAATCAGATTTATTTCTATAGATCTATAGTTTTTTATTAAACTTGATTAATTCAATATTAGATTTGAGTATCTTATATAGTGATTTTTTTAACTCCTTATAACTTATGCATTTTATTTAGCACCTTCAGTATTTGTTCTACTAAAGTCAAATTATTAGAATCTAGACTAAAACTCACATGAGCATGCCATTTTTTGAATGATATATTATTGTATAGCAATAAGACTTTATTACTATTATATTCATTACTATCTGTCTCTTAAGAAATTTGATCAGATACCAAAGACTTATCGTAAAGTAATAGACTTTGTCCCTATCATTCTAAGATATAGTAGTATAATTTACTTCAAGCTTATTTTTACCTTATGCATAGTTACTGAAATAATGTGATCCTTCTCATTGAAAGAAATTTTCAATTCATCTTTTCTTTAATCTATCACATTTATATTTATAGAAAAATGAGTTTAAAAATATTAATGTTAGTTTAGGGATATATATAATTACAAAATCTTCACATATAGTAAAATACTAATAGATTTTGTTAGAACTGTAACAACTCTACTAGATCATATTTTTCTGATTTATCAATTGATCAATTTACACATTTAACAATATTTTCTAATATAATTAGAGATTCAGCTCTACTATCTAGTACCAATACTAAAATTTTTAAGCATTTGATTTTAACTATATAGTTATAAGACTTATGATAGATTTCTTTCTTCAAATAAAGTCTATCTTCACAAGATTATCTAATGTCTCCTCTTCTTCATCTGATTCTGGAATTATTAAAATAAGTTTTCTATAATTACACAATAAAATTTGATATAATGAAATCTCGATAAACTGGAACTAGCCTTATAACAGAACTTTTTATTAAAACTAAATCACATATATTAAAATAGATTTGATATAACAGGATCTATTAATAAAATTTCAATAATCACTATAATAGAATAAAATCTATATCTATTATAGTAAAATAATTGGATATACCAGAATACGTGATAATCTATAATAATAAGCCAATAAAATTAATTCAATAATCTTTTTTTTAATATTGAAAGATTTTTAAATTTTTTGTGCTTATTTTTCAATTCTTTTGCTTTTATTTTTCAATCTTTTTTACTAACCTCTGTTTATACTTTATTTTCAATTTCTTTTATTTAAAATAAAAATGGAAAAAGTTAACAGAAAGGATTTAGATAATGATAATAACTCTCAAAAAAAAAGAAAATTTTAACATTTGCTCAAAAAAAAACTTTGTAAAAAGTATTGAGATATAAAATGTAATGGTATGCAATTAGCAAAGGAATATGGAATTTCTGATAGTGCAGTATCTGAATTTTTAAAAAAATCTGAGCATTGGCTTTCTATTGACACTACTTTATCAAATGCAAATAATTTTTATAAAAAACTAAGTAATTTTTCACAAATAGAAGAGGCTGTTAGTATTAGTATCTGGGTTGATCAGTAAATTTCAAGAAGTTTAATTCTTAGTGAATCTATTATTTAAGAAAAAGCAAAGAATTTGCTATATTATTTGATATTAATAGTTTTTTAGCATCAGAAGGATGGTTAAATAATTTTAAACATAGAAATAACCTACACACATTTAAAATAAGAAAAGAAGCTGATAGTGCTTCAATTAATAAAATTTCACAAATGAAAATTGAATTACAAGAAGTTCTTCAAGAATATAAATTAAGAAATATTTGGAATTGTGATGAAACTGCTCTTTTTTAGTACTTAGAACTATGTAAAACAATAGTACATTCTCTAGTGCTTGATAAAAATATCTAAAAGAATATATTAGCATATTAGCAACATGCAATGCATCTGATAATAAAAAATTATCTTTGCTTTTTATTCATAATATCAAATATCACGTGTATTAAAAGGGATTGAAAAAAAATCTCTTCTTGTTTAGTAATATTAGAATTCAAAAGCCTAGATGTAAAGAAGTATTTTAAGTATTTTCTTGAAAGATTAAATTCAAAAATGGTTAAGGAAAGGTATTATATTATTTTATTAATGGATAATGCTAAATGTCATAATTGTGAAAATATTAATAATTTCTTAAATGTTAAAGTTCATTTTTTACCATTAAATACAATCTCACATCTTCAATTACTAGATTAAAGCATAATTTACAGTTTAAAAGCACAATATTGCAAATTATTATATTAAAATCATATTTAGGCTTATAAGTTTTATGAAGAAGATGATTCAATTCTACTACCAATTGATATTCTTGACTCTATTAATTTAATTACTAAAGCTTGGAAAAAGTAACTAAAAAAACAATCATTGATAGTTAGACTAAAGCTGAAATTCTTTCTGATGATAATAATTTTAATATTTCTGATAATAATGATGATATTGAAAAAGATAATATTGAAGAATTACAATCATTAATTAATGAATTACCATTTACAGATCCATTAAATATGAAAGAATATATTAATATTAATGATAAATTAATTGTTGAAGAAGAATTATTATTAGAAGAAATTGTTAATATTATTATAGATCAAGCTGTAGTAGAAGAGGTTAAGGTAGAAAAAGATGAAATCATAATCTTATCAGATGTATTAAATAGCATTAAAAAATTAATTAAATATGTTCAACAAAATGATTGAATATTAATAATTTAAATATGCAAAGTTTATTTAATTTAAAAAAAAAATTATTTTTGATAATAGGAAAAGGTAGAGGCAAAGTAGATTAGATGAGTTTTTTTATTAGGTGTAAAATTTTTTTCAAAATAAAATAAAAAAATAAAGAAAATTTTTTTCATATAAAAATAAAAATTTGATATAACAGATCTTCATATAATTTTATATAATTTTCGATATATCAAAAATTTTTGTCATATCAGAATACTTGATATATTAGATATTTTTGTAAAAATGGATAGTTTTATTACATCGAATTTTACTATGTATTATCTTGAATAGAGATAGCTTTTGAAATCAGATTTAAGACTTTGTAATAAATATAGAGGTAATAATTTTTTAATATATCTATAACAATTTCATAGATTTTTTCTAAAGAGATCTGCTTTGATTTGTAAGGTTTAGATGAGTTAGAAATTCAAGATTTCAATCTCTTTTTTTTAGATTTAGATTTCTTAAAATTCTGTTTCTAATTTACTTTTATTTTGACTTAATGATATTAACTTACATACTCTCAGTTTTAGAAGAGATATTATTAGAATCAGATCCAGAATCAAAATTAGAATAATTATTAGAAGAGTTATAATCAGAACTTGAATCAGAACTAGGGTCATTGATAATCATATTAATATTACCTTTTTTATTAGATCTGTTTTTATTAGAACATCTAGATTTGCTCTTTTTTTATTTTAAGACAGTTGCGAAAATTATGATCTAGTTTACCACACTTTGAATATTTATATTAAAATGATTTTAAAACTACATATATTGCTTATACTATTTTTGCTAGTTGATTTCTAACTCTTTAAATTGTAATCTCAAATCTTTAATTAAATTATAGTCATAAGCTTCTTTTAGTAAACCTATATCATTAAAAATACTATTTAAAAAATGGTTTATAGTAAGATCAGCTTTTTGTTTCTCTAGTCAAAAGGGTTTCTTTAAAATTGCTATTCTTTAGCAATAGTTTCCTTCAAACCCGCTATAATTTTTTTGAAATTGTCTTGTGAAAGTGTGATATGTTTTTTTAAA